GCGGATGTCTGGACGACAATGGATTTTGCGAGTAGCTTGTGAAAAGAGGTTCTTACTATTAAATTATTTATTTCCACCCCATTATCTCAATTGTCAAATTGTCTCACATTACATTTACGTCTCTAATATCTACTTGATTGTTAAATATTTTTAATCGTTATTCATCTCGCTCTCTTTCTCTTTCTTTCGGTCTCTCTCTTTCTCTCCCCCTCTCTCAATCAGAAATGAAAAAACTTTATGTAAAAGTACTAATAAAGAATGATTAATAATTGAATTTATAATATCTGTTAAGTATTCAAACTATTATAATGTATTGCATGTTATTTTACACAGATTTGTAAGTTCTTTTCAGGATTTGTTTTTTAATAGATTTATTACAGTTTGTAATGAGGTGATAAAAATTTAATTTTAAATGTATGTAATCTATAACATTGTATTAGCAAATTTTGTAATTATGTAATTTTCTTTCTTTATTGATTTGTTACAGTTAAATGAATGTAAATTTTTATTTAGTTATTATTAGTGATCTACTTTCAGCTTAAATTTTCAATTTGTATTGTTTTTTTTTGTTACATTTTTTTATTATTATATACATATGATCATCTAGAAGTAATGTAAGTTAAACATGTAAAATGTTGGATTCTCGTTGAGCGTAAGAAATGTCAAATTGATCTAACTCTGCGAGATTTGTAAAAATAAATCGTTTCTCAAAGCAAATCAAAATCTCTCTCGGCCTGTCGATCCTCTCTCTCTTTCTTTCCTCTCTTTCTCTTTGTTTTGATCTCTTCCTCCTTCTCTCTCTCTTTCTCTCCTTTCTTTTGGCCTGTCGTTCCTCTCTCTCTTTCTTTCTTTCTCTCCTCTATTTCTTTTGATCTTTCACCCTTCTCTCTCTCTTGGTCTGTCGCTCCTCTCTCTCTCTCTCTCTCTCTCTCTCTCTCTCTCTCTCTCTCTTTCTCTTTCTCTCCTCTGTTTTTTTGATCTCTGACTCTTCTCTCTCTCTTGGCCTGTCGCTCCTCTCTCTTTCTTTCTTTCCTTTTTTGATCTCTCAATCTTCTCTCTCTCTCTCTCTCTCTCTCTCTCTTTCACTCTTTCTCGCTCTCTATAGTATTTTTGCAATATTATTTACCGATTTATCACCAACTAACTAAATCTCATTTTCTCCGTATGGATTTAGATTTTTAATATAAAAAAATGAAAAAGTCCTTTCATTCCTTTTTCTGCCATTTTTTTTAATTGTGTGTTTCCTTTAACTGAAAATCTGAGACCGATCTTTGAGAAGTGGGACTGATGACCTTTAATTTTAGTTGTTTTGTCCTTTTTCAGATTATCTATTATTATTAATGGGAAATGCATCTCTCGTCTTTCTTCTTTCTTTTTTCAGTTCTTTGAAATAAGAATTTTAAACCAATCGGATTTAAGTTACTCGATTATGATTGATTAGCTTCCTTAATGTCAAGTTAGTATTCGTTTGAGTTTCGGTACGTTGTATATGAAGCAAGCTGACCTTTAGTAATCGAAAATCTGCCGGAGGTCGCTTTACCGAGAAGATTAATCTCTTCAAAAGGGAAGATCAATGATGATCGTGTCAGAATGACATACCGGGAAAAAAATTATTTTGGCAATGAAACGGTGTCAAATTAAATTCTTTAGTTAAATCATGGAATCGTGCTTGTTATTCCTTATTGGGAAATCCGATCGTTATTTCAGTGTGCTTCGTTTTGTGCACTAGGTATCGAGGAGAGGTCGAGCAGCATCACGCTCTTCCCCTGGAAATGGGTCTCTGGGCCCACGAATTTGACCCAGTCAACAATCCGGGAGGAAGTTCAACGTCCTTTTTCCTCTCTTTCTCCCTATAAATACGTCCCTCGACGTCGTGAGCACTAGACATCTCGAGAGAAAATTCGAATCTAAATAATCGAAACGTCCCAGTTTTTCACCCGACGACATCGCTTTAATGATTTACGATCGAACAATTCAGGAAACTTGAGAATGTCGGCTTTTTTTCAGTTTAATCTCATAATCTAGATACTAAAAAATTGAACAACTTTCAAGACGTCGAGTTTTCAGTAGAGACACTTGTCGGTTGAAGAACTATGAACACCGTTTTCATCCTTGTTAATATTCAATCTGGTAACACCTTTTCACAGAAGACTGCGTATCTGATATGTTTCGTGATAAAATTGAAAATTTCCTACAATTGCAATAGCCTGGGAAATGTTTCCCAAATATATTCCATAAATTATAATATTGTTGACAACGCTGTGTACATTGGACGGCTATGAGAAAAATCTTTTTCATATTACTCAATGTTACTGTTATGAGTAACATTTTCTCTTTACTCTCCCTCCCCTACTTGATTTGTAAATCGATCATAGATGCACGAACACAGTTTCCTAAAAATTCATCTATAAATCTTAATTGGTTGAAAGCGATCTAATATGTTCATCACCTCGAGATCGGATGTAAAACTCACAAAAATTTTATAAAAACAATTTTTGTTTGTTTAAATTTTTACTTTCTAATTTATATTCCACAAGTACCATGAATGCAAAATCCTCTTACTTTTTTGTATGTTTCAGAAATATCAATTGCTAACATATTTTAGACTAAAGTCTAAACTAGACTAAAGTGATATCGGGATCTCACTTTTATATAGCCTGGGGGTGACTGGACTTACACCCTCTCCTGTAAAACATATGGTTTTTAGTGTTTCCTAGGACTGGGTGCACTCCACCAGTTAAGTTCTGCCAAAGTTAAGCTGCAGTAAACTGCGAAAAAAAGTTTTTGAGTAAAACCATATTTTTCATCCAATGATACTCAACCTTAACTACGATATTTTAAATAACGATCTATGTATGGGACGGGATCGGTATGTTTCCTACACCTAAGTTTGGTTTGTGAGGGCTTTTTGCTTTGCTTAAAAGCACAGTTTTTGTAGCCCGTGAAATTATAGGGGTTTTTTCCCCAGAAGGACTGCGAATGTTGTACAGGCTTCATTTAAGGCCCCTTAATCTTTGGGGTACCTCATATTTTTGGACGCGGAAGGTCAAAATTTTACTCGAAACTTCCAGCAAACAAGAATCTTATGATCATGACAATAAGTCTATCCAGTCTTCATTTTTACATCTGATTTTTCAAAGTATAAAGTGAAGAAAAAAAATCATTCTCATTTTTCAATGGTCATGTTTCAAATCTGATGAACCATCTCGTCGGCACAGTTCTTTCATTCAGTTTCTTACTCTTTAACATGTTGAATCGGGGAATGAAACTCTGACGACCCTCTGGGGCGGAAATTTAAAAAAAAAAAATCATGAATGAGTTTAATAATAATTGTAAAACTTGGGAAAATATTTTTGTAAATTTATCTTTCGTCTAAATTATAATTTCCGGATGGTTCTCCCCGCCTCAGACGATACCCAAGTTATGTAGCCCACACAGCACCTAGTTTCCGATTTTTGTAAAACCCATTTTGTTTTTATTTTTTAATTGCTATTATTATAGCATTATTATTTTGCTTTTCCATTTTTCTTTAATAATGCAGCAACTTCGACAATTAGGTGTATATAATAATTGTCAAATACATTCAAAGTCGAAAAAAAATCTCATCACAAGAGCTGTGATGGAATCAGAGACAAGAGCAGTTTGAAGCTGTTCCACGCTTGTTGGAGGCGGCAAACAATGCCTAACCCGTCTCTTTATCATGTCCCATAAGTGTTCTATGAGATTTATGTCAGGAGAACATGCTGGCTAATTCATTATGGTAATCCCTACATCCTCCAAGTAATGGGTGGTCAACTCAAATATTAGCACGAAGTTTCCCCAATAAATTGAGCGACTATGATCACATTTTCCAGAACTTTAGGGCAGCCAAGGATGCATTCTGTATGATAATCAGTAAGGTACAGACATGGATATTTATTCCACCTCATACCATAACTGTCTTTGAAATGAGTGACACGCACATGGCACACGGAGCAAAGCATTCTTCACGTCTTTTCCCACATGGTCCTGGTCACTGATTGCTACAAAACAAACCAGCACTCATAAATGAAGATATCAGCCCCCCATTCATTGTTTAAGTGTCCATGCGAGATGCCTCTCCATTAGTAGAGGACCTGATGCAGGATGTCTAGAGACTAGAATATTCTCACGAAACCTTCTATAACTGTTTTAGTGTTCATCCCTTGTATTAGGGACTGTTTGGAGTTGACTACCCATCAAGGAAGGCACCAAATAATAGTTCCATCGTGTAGAAAGAGCAGTAAAACTATCATCTCTAGCTGCAGTACTGCTTACTCTTCAATTGAAACTTCCGGTAGCCCTAAACCACTGTAAACTACCATGGATGGTACAGCACGCACATCCAGTAGTACTTGGACTACATAACGGACACTATGTCCATCTGTCTGGGTAAGATCTTCTCAACTTAAAACCATACTTTTATTGAAAAAATTAATCTTTTACTGAAATTTATTGTTTCAACCCTGAAAATTATTTAAACTTTTTTTTCTCGCTGAACCAACATTCCAGGTGAAGAAAAACAATAGTCAATGATCGTCTAAGGAGTGACCTGGGTCTCAAATGCCCTGTTTGTGTTAAGTTAAACTGGACCATCAAAGTTGTGCCATTTCGCCATCTGTAAACTTCTGTTTGTGGTAATGGTGCAATATAATGAGAATTTCATATTCGACGGAATCTATGATTGATCAATTATTAAAATATACAAACTAATAATAATTCTATGATGTATTAAATTAATTATTAATTAATCAAACCAGTAACAATAGTGGGGACAAAGGTAGCCAAATTATTAGCATGTCATACTCACAGCTGTGAGGTTTGGTTTCTACACTCACCTCTAGAATTTTTGAACCGCTATTCAAAAAATTATACAATAATTCAAACTGATACTTGGTTAATGCACTAGATACTAGGAAACAATAAATAAATAAAAATAATAACCTGCAAGGTATTCAAGGATTTTAAACATAAATAGGAAATTGAAAAATTGAAAACAGACATTTTTATTTGCTCACCCGAATGTAATACATATCATTTGCTCAACAACTTTTAGACAGAAATTGTTAAATTGATAAAAATAATAAAGTTCTAAGGCTGAAGAAACATTATTATATAATACGGTTATATTAATAAAATATCAAAATAAATAAACTAATAAATAATCTCATCTCAAGTACATATATAAATAACACTTACCAATAATACAAATTGATTTTATATTAACGGCTTATATTATTTTTTCTTAAACCCTGTGAATATAAAGGTTAGCAATTTGTTTTGTAATTGTTTTTCCTGTAACATGCCAACACATTTCATACATTGTAAAAATATGCTGTTTTATGTATGGTCTTGTAAAAAAATATTAAGTCAGATTGTTAATTACATCCTTTTTTTCTTTTTTTCAGTCTAAAGCACAATTTATGTTAATTGCTTATATATCTGGAAGACTACAAACTAGAAGATATGTTGCATTCTAACCTATTTATATTTTATAATATCATTGTGTGTTGGTTTTGTTTCTTTGTTTTTAATGGAATGTTTACGCAGTAAATTTAAAAAAAATATTTGTGCGCTAAGGATAGTAACATGGACTAAATGCTTACTAAATTGAAGAAAAAAATTGCCCTGGTTTGTGTCAAATTATGTTTGATACATTTAAAATTATTCTAATACAAAAATTGTTCGAATGTAGACAAAAAAGTAAATGGTAAGTGAATCCAGAAATTTTAAAACTAAATTGAAAAATTAAAATTATTCATTTTTCAAATATCCCTCATTTAGTTACAACTCATTTAACAAAGTAAGAAGTCTCCAATTCAATTGGTGGCTTTATTTTGTAATTAATAATAACACGTTTTTATAGATTAGTTAATAATTGTGATACTGTATTTTCATTTTTTTTCACTTGCCTTTTTTCTTAATACATATATTTTTTTATAAAATAAATTATAAAATACAGCACATTGCCTTTGGTAATTAAAACAGAAAATTTCCCTCCACTTTTTTCTTGGAATGTTAATTTTTTATGATGATCAGCTGTTAGATCTAATATTTATGTAATGCATTCATGCACTATAATGTCATTGACGTTACTGCCCTGATGCCGTGTACGAGTAAACAGGGCCGCAGGTTCGCAGTAAGCTCCGTAAGGGAGTCTAAATAGTCTTGAGACAGAGACGGGTCACTTGGAGGTCGTTCCAGATACAGAAAACTAATCGCGGTGTCTGTCGATTTGCTCAGGATCAATTTATTAACACTAAAACAGATTTGGCCATTTTTAACGTGAAAAAAAGAGTCAATTTATAGGACTTACTTTGTTAAATACAATCTTGATGTTTCGTTATTTTTATCCAAGCTCATTTCGCTCCCTCGCAAAGATGCCCTCAGCCTCGACCAATTCTCAACGTGCTCGATCTCGGCCTTGATACGCAGGCAGTCCAGAAGTAGTCTCACTTGTGTGTGAGTTGTTGATCTCCTAATAGAAAAATCTGTCAGATCGGAAATTGAAGCCTGGTCTTCGCATAGTAATACTCTCAGCCTAAGGTGTTTCCAACCTTGAACCTATAAAATACATCATTTTAACATTCACTTATCCTTTTCAGTTTTTACTATCGTTTACCATATGAATGATGCATGATAGCTGAAGCATAAAAAGACTTGTTGTATCGTTCACATCATTGGCAGAAGGTTTGAAGAAATTCACCGGCCAGACGTCGATATATTTATAATTGCTCGTCCTGAAAAATGAAAACAATTAATTACCATTTGTTATTTGTCCCAAAAAACTTTTACTCACTTGGCAATTTGCAGTTTGCTGAAATTGTGAAAATGCCTAGCGATACAAATATTCTTTTGCATTCTCAAAATATCAGAAATGAGATAGACATATTCCTCGGGGTCAACTTGGCTTTGTTCATCTCGCAGTTCAAAATCTCTCTCATGCTCAAATTTATCAGTCATGTAATCCGAGCCAATACTGAAAAAACGAAGCATTGAATAAAACAATTATTTCAAGGTACAGCTTGCAAGGGATTTACTGTTTGAAAAAATCCACTGGGCCTTGATTATCCCTGAAGCCTAACACTATTGTATTTGGCTTCATGGCTCCAAGGCCGGCCAAATGAGACAAGTGGTTCAAACCTTCCCTGAGACTCCTAGCAACTGTCAGCTCGACAAAAGCTTTCACCTTGAATACAGAAAAAAAGTTAAACAAATTAAACACAGGCTTGTTGAAATGACTTACCCTCAAATGGTCGACAAAAGAAAGCCATTTTGAATTAAGTGGAACAGTCGGGTCGGAATCAAGCTCTGAAAATTCTTTGCCCACGATAACATGGCCAAGCACGTAAAGTCCTGATTTTTTCATGTCGTTCACAAAATGAACCAAGGGTGTTGAGCCCCTTGGGTTTGCAACTAGAAGTAAAACTTGAGGTCTCCAGAACTTGACATGGTCTTTTCTTGAATCAAGCATGAGTAGGTATTTCCTAACCTGGTTAAGAAAAAAATTAATAAATAAAAAAATTTCTTTCATATTAAATTTAAAAAATTTAATAAATTCATATTCCATTTCACATATTCTGTGTTTTGTCATTGTGTTTCGTTTGAATGCGTGTACTTATTAGAGTGAGTGATGAGGGCTGATGGTGAAATATAGTGCCACCATTGCTGCTCTGACAGTGTGGGTTTAAGGAGTACCCACTGACTCTAATTTAAATTAGATTATTAATAGTGTGTGTGGTGTTTAGTAGCCATTAGCCAATGATTATTTGGAGATCATGAGATGCTGGTTGACATAGGTTTACAATTTTTTTTGTTTATCGTACCAGCATTTCAATCTTTATTGAGATCATCTTCAGGGCTCAAAGTGTTTGTTTTCTGTGTAGATGTGTCATTATTGTGTGTCATGTTGAGAGTAGTAGCATGATAGAGAAACCCAAGAAACAACTAAAATTAACCAGAATGCAATATGGAAAATACAACCAATTTTAACCAACTATCGCATTCTAAATTCAACCAAAATTAACCTAAATACAAGATTGAAAATACAACCAATTTTAACCAACTATCCCATTCTAAATTCAACCAAAATTAACCTAAATACAAGATTGAAAATACAACCAATTTTAACCAACTATCGCATTCTAAATTCAACCAAAATTAACCTAAATACAAGATTGAAAATACAACCAATTTTAACCAACTATCGCATTCTAAATTCAACCAAAATTAACCTAAATACAAGATTGAAAATACAACCAACTATCACATTCTAAATTCAACCAAAATTAACCTAAATACAAGATTGAAAATACAACCAACTATCACATTCTAAATTCAACCAAAATTAACGTAAATACAATATTGAAAATACAACCAATTTTAACCAACTATCGCATTCTAAATTCGGCCAAAATTACCCTAAATACAAGATTGAAAATACAACCAATTTAACCAACTATCATATTCTAAATTCAACCAAAATTAACCCAAATACAAGATTGAAAATACAACCAATTTTATGAACTATCGCACTCCAAATTCAACCAAAATTAACCCAAATATAATATTGAAAATAAACCAATTTTAACCAGGAAGTAAAACCCACGTGCATAAAAGGCCCGTTTCATACACTCGTTTTCCTTTATCTGTTCCCAAGAATTGTCCCGACACGACTTTCCATAATAAAATAATTAATTTTTTTTAAGCAAATCTTCATAGCCGGGAACAGAGGAATCGGCTCCTTTTTGGTGCATGGGAACGACTCTATCAGCAGAAAGCTGACCCGGCAATTGCCTGGACCCTGAGTGTACAGATTTTATTTTAATTTATTTAACTATTTCTTTTGCCCAAGCCCCCATCCTTTCATATGAATGTATTTATATGAGCGACTGATCCAATTTAAGTAACATTAGGTTAGATTATAGTTTGCATGCAGTAGTGATCTAGCTATCGATAGCCCCGCTGGAGCCTAACCCCGTTGTAGGGAAGCGATGATCTCACAGGCATCTGGCTTAAGGGGGATACTAGTGACCCATAACTCCCTGACATATAAACTCTAAGGTCAACACATCAGGGAGTGACAACCCTTTGGGAAAAAGTCCAAATATAACTAAATACACATTGCTTCAAAACCCAAGAAATAAAACTGAATTATTGAAAAATGCTATTGACATCCCAATAATTTTTACTACATCTGTATTATATATTTTGTTTTATTTTACCTGATGGAAGATAAGAGCTTGTGTGATTGATCCCCAGTCTGCTGTCTGAGAGGAAGGTGAGAATAAATGAAGCAAAACAATGAGCAGAAAGCAGAGAACAATGGAAGAAATCGCATAAAGTGGGTTGATTACGAACATCATCACCAATGTTCCTACAATGCCGATTAGAGCTGTCGACCAGGAGAAATATTTGAACGACGGCCTAAAAAAATCAAATCAAACTTTTAATTCAAATACTGAAATTCCTCTTAATTTGAGTCATGTAACTGACCTGAAATTTGGAGCGGATGTCAGATCGAGACCAAGGCAGGCAAGGTTTGTCGCAAAATAGCTAAGAAGGAAGAGGACAGAGTTGATCTGTGCGATGATGTTAAGAGAATCGATCAAAAGTATGATTTGTACAAGGAACCAAGAAGAAAACACCGCGGCGACTGGGTTCCCTTGGTAAACTCCTTTGGTTATGCAAGTAAGAAGCCGACCTAAAAAAATACACAAAAAGGACATAATTAAGTGTTTAAAATTCCACAAACTCAAGAAACCCACATTAATAATTAGAATCTCGGTTATTTTTCATTTTCATTTTTAAAAAAAGTATTATCGTATCTGTGAACAATTCAACCTGTTTTCTTTACAATTTCTCTGTCAGATAAACCAATCTGGCTACTATAAGGTCTCCAAAGATTTATTTTATTTTATTATTTTTATAATTATCTCCATTTTAATTAATAATATTAGTGCTTAATTACAGTGCTGATAGATAGAACAGTAAAGAATTTTTTTTATGATCATCATTATTACTTTATTGTTGCCTAACCATGAAATCCATTGATTCCTAATTAATACTTTGTCCCTTACATCATAAAATTACTATTATTTGTTATTTTATAGAAGTCCAAATTACACGTAAATTATTATAATACTTATCTACACTCAAAATAAAAAAATTAATTAATTTAAAAAAAGATGCTTTGCCCAACGATGGATGTAGTGTCCATTATAGCCCAAGTCCTGGGTGTGCCATGCCTGCCATCCTCAACGGTCAATGGTTTAAAATTGTCTAGAGATGATCGTTTTATTCCTCCTACCGCATTACGGAACTGTCGTTTAACAGCACCGATAGGTAGTCAACTCCAAGGGGGGGGGAGTAAGGATGATCTCTAAGACAGCATCAGAAGGCATCATAAGAATATCCTAGCCTCTAGACATCCCGAGGATCTGACTCATAGAAGAAGGGTCATCATCACCTGATTAAGAACAGGGCCTTGCAAGGACACACGACACTTACTTTTGGGTGTACGTGCCCAGCAAGCAGAGAAAGATTGCTCGATGTGTCCCAGCTAATTGAAGGGTGCGATTACTTGGCTCCTACAGAGAGCGTGCTGGAATGCCACCTCAAATGAGAATTTTGCTTGAGCATGACAGCAGGTATTTGGGTCCCCTGGTCTAATTCTTGGAGGAGACAGGGTTCTTATATTATATATAGTAATAATAGTTATGTATATCTAGTTTCTGTTGAGAATGAATGTATTTATTAGTGTGAATGTGTGATGTGAGAGGGTCGATGGCAGAATATTGAGTAGCCATCGATCCTCAATTAAGTAGTTGTATAATATGTGTAAAAGTTGTGTTGAGTGAATGTATTTATTAGCATGAATGTTTTATGTGTGAGGGTCACTGGCGGAATATCAAGCAGAAAGAATTCCATTCACAAATCAGCTCATTTGGACCCTTAAACATTGGGGAGGAGGGCTGTTCACTTCACAGATGAGTGCCGGTTTGGTATGTGTCAATCAGATGACCAGGATCATATGTGGAGAAGACGTGGCGTCTTTGCTTCATGTGCCAAGACAGTCAGTTATGGTACGAGGTGGAATCAACTTCCATGACATTACAACTGATTATCTGAATGGATCTATTAGTTTATTATGTATTGAGGAAGTTCTGGAAGCTGTGATCCCATTCTCTCCATTTATTGGGGACAACTTCGTGTTAATGCTTGGTAATGCTTGACTGAATGTAGCTTGAGTTATAACCCATTACTTGGAAGATGTAGGATTACCACAATGAATTGGCACCATATTCCTCTGACATGAACTCTAAAGAATACATATGATAAAGAGATGAGTTAGACACCGTTTGCCACCTCCAACAAGCGTTGAGCACTTTCAAACTACTCTTGTTGAAGAATGGGATTCTGTTTCACAGGACAATATCAAGAAGATAACTCGTTATATAGAACAAAACTAGGTAATAAATTGTTAATTAAATTTTAATCTATCTCTAAACGATGTTCAGCTGTTTTGGTGAATTTGCTTTCAAATCATCATAATTAAATATTTTTTATTCAAACTCATGAATTTCCAATCTTGTTTAATTTGGTTTGCATTAATACAAGTATATTGTAATTAATGTAACCATAAAACTTCACATAGTTTGAGATAAACAACAAAAGATGAGAAACATTTTTTTTTTTTTTTGTCTTAGAGTGTATTAGTGATTAAGCTAGCACTACCCACTTACCTCAGGTTATCCCAATACTTTATAACTTTTGTCAGATAAAAAAAAAAAGCTTCGCAGACAAGTTTATAAACAAAAGCTCGGCAATTATTAGAGCCATTTAACAAATTCAACCGTAAGGAAAGGTTTTTTAAATGTATTTTTGATCGGTGTATGATACAAAATTAAATAAAACAGATGTGTTACGATCATGAAGTGTGGTATGTGTTTTAATTTAAAGCAGCAAATACACTTCAATTTAGAGTATTAATAGGGGAAAGGTTGAAAAACAAAATTAGTCCTGTGCAGAAAATATTAAAAATACCTGTGTACACTGCAACTAAACGTAATAAACAATCAGGTAACACAAGACGTAATGCTGGCAGAATAGCTTTGCCGAAGTTTCCTGTTTTAAACGGTGATTATTACTTAACCCTTAACATTTCAGAAAATAAAACTAATGCATTTCAGATTACATAAATAAAATGTTTAATTGTTTCAATAAATTTCAATTGAAAATAAACAGTGATAAAAAAACACAAAATCCCAATCCATTGAAATTGGTCCTAGATTAAAACAAAACTGTTTTAAATGATAAAGCTCAAAGCCCTTAAATCTTGAGACAAAGACTAAATAATATTTCATGGAAAACTTACCATATATATTATCTTTCGCTAAAGCTTCCAGCACTCTTGAAGATCCGATCAAGTTACTCAAAGAGGCGGAAAAGGTTGCAGTGAGCACGCCAACAGTTATAAACGCAGGTACTAAATTTATAGGCATCATATACATGAAATTAGTGGTCATCAAGAACCTAGAGCAAGTCGCAGCACTCAGCGTTGACACTGTGATGTATGAAACGAGTGTGAAAAACACTGCAGACATTGTTCCCCATGGGATGCTCTTTCCTGGATCTTTAAGTTCACCTTGTAGAAAGAAAAAATTCAACAGTTAAAATTTTTCTCTTAAAATCTCTCCATCATTGACTTACCTGACATATTCGCGCCAGCCATTATACCAGTCACTCCGGAAAACAATACTCCAAAAACAGTTGCAAAATCCGTCATGTGCCCATTTGACGTGTAATCCCTTGTGTAGTTCTGATAGAGATTGTTGTTTAAAGTTTGCCAACTTAGCCCGGTGTATGTCGCGTTTACCATATGGCTAGTGCTATTGTCTATATTAACATCGGGAATTGCAATCTGTAATTATATTTTGATATATTTATTATAATTTAAATTTATAAAAATGGTCAAATGCTGAAAATACAAACTAAATTTCAAAAAATGTCAATACTTGAACAGTTCTTTGAGAAAATGAAAAGATTTTTTTTTTAAATAGGAAGTAATAATTATATTTAAATATACAATATACAAACCAAACAAATCTAATCGTACTTAATAATACTCACTCTACTTACAACAAGAAAAATTATGAGTTTTTGCTTATAAAGGGAACAACCAGGTTGGTGGTGGTAAAAAAATAAAAATAGATCATGTTCATTGGAAATATGGCTAATAAATAAAATTGAACAGCCTCATAAAAATGTAGTAAAATAACACAAAATGAAAAAGAATTCAGAGAATTTTTTTTGTCAAGCTAAAAAATACAGGAAATAAATATTTGGTCATACTCAGGTACAATTTAACTTTATAGCAGGGCAGCAAATATGAAAAAAAAATGACAACTTGTAGCTACAAATAAATAGATCAAACAAAAATGTCTTTTAGTATGCTTATGGAAGTATAAAAGAAGAAATTTATAACTGATTTTTTTATTTAGTTCTGAAGCTATTGTTTTGGAACTAGTAATGATGTTGGAGAAATTTTATTAGTAGAATTGTGTAAAATACTTAGGTAAATTAGATTAAATCAGATGAATGAAGGTCATGGCCATAGGAAAAAAACTGTTTCACACTTTAATACTAATCAGTTCAAGGAGATTAGCAAAAAAAATCGTGTAAATTGTATACATTACCTCCATGGGTCCCGTCATTACAAACGAAACAATAACAGACGCCAGTGAAATGCAGACTATTATGAATATTATAACACTGATCTTTGCAAACATTCCGGCGCCGATCAGGCATACTAGGAGGTTCAGTAGATTTAGCACCGAGGAATATCCGAACCTCCACCAACTGCCGTCTTTCAATTCGTACCCATTTATGCTCAAATAGCCTGAAAATTGAAAAAATTTAATGAGGCAAAGTTGATGATTCCGGGTTTAAAATGTCATACCTCCTGGGCCAAAGTTTTCGACTATTCCTTCAGCACAGCCTATGACATACAGGGCGCTGCTAACAATATTAGCTAAGAAGAACAGAGTACCAATTGATCCTCCAAATTCAGGTCCTAAAGTTCGACTAATCATAACTGAAGATAACTGTTAAGGGATTAGTATAATCATTCTATTAACAAATATATTAATAATAAATAATTTATTTATTAATAATAAATATATGTTAATATAAGTATAAGCCGTTTTTTTTTTTTTTTTTGGGGGGGGGAGGGGGGAAGAAGAGAGAAAAAAATAAGCCCATTTGTAAGTATGTTGGGTTCAAATACAGGGCTACTAGTTAAATGATGAGCGCTGTATCATGCCTAAATTGCTGCAACCACTGACACCCTGAAGCCCAAAGTGTAATTAAACATTGTAAAAATAATTAAATTTATTAGCAGGTGAACCCTTCATAAACTAAATTTAACAAGTTCCTGACTTTGCGAAGTTCACTCTTAACACACAAAAAAAGGTTAGCAGGTGTATTGCTTTTATTTTTTATTTATTTAGAAATCGATTAACGGTCACTAATCACCACACATTTATTTTTTATGTTTTGTTTGTTCAAGTTTTCAACTATATTTGGTAATTTATTTCAAGCATATTTTACAAAGTATGCAATCTGACCCGTTATTGATAAGTGATTGATAACAATTGAACAAAAAATCTGATGATAAGGATACAATAAGCTCCTCCTCCTTCAACAGCACCATTTGTTGATATTGCACAAATAGAAGTGACAGTGAAAAATAATATCAAATAAGCTATTATGAATTGTAAAAGAGTTACTAGAAGGCCAGCGTTTCCAACAATAAAACCTGAAACAAAATAAAAATATATTAAAATCTTTCAACCTAACTTTAGATGGCAATGTCTAGACTAATTTAGAAACGTGGAAAAGAGTAAAGGTCCAAGAATAGGGCCTTGTGATACACCAGCTGAAATTAAGAGAGGCGAGGAAATTATTATTACTATGCCTCTATTTTTCTTTTTACTTCTTATTGGGTCTTATGTTCCTAGAGAACATGGGTTTTATCTCATCTGTCATATTGACCTTTTAAATATTAAACGGTAGTAAAACATATAAAAATTACTGTTAATTAAGAATGAATGAACGAATAAACATTTATTAAAAACAAAAAACTTATACATTGTGTTACATAACATTCATTAAGCAGAAGTGGTGGGGCACTTTTACGTCCTATTTCAAAACTTTTTCCTATCAACGCTCCTAGTCCTAGTTTGTTATTATTTTTAATTAATCAAACAAGAAAATAGTGTGAAAAATCTTCTTAAAAAACCCACTAGGTATCAAATAGGATAACAATTAACAAATGAATTAATAAAAATGTGTTAACAAAATTATAAATAAATAAATGAGAATAACAAGAACAATGCTACACGGGTAATTGAATTATCACAAATTTTTTATAGTATCACAGCTCTAGAGGAAACAATAAATATATCACAGATCCTAAATTTATGTATTGTGCCTAATCCTTCTATGTTTCCATGGAAAGTTCACATCATACACTCCTATATCCCTACAAGTAGTGTTCTTGCTGGAGGAGAGATAAAAAAATTCCTGGACAGTCGTTTTAATTCGGAATTAATATACTCCACTCCCGCTTTCTCATGGAGGAGGCCAATTCTGATGTATCGAGGTAGTGAGGTTATAAACCTTAGAAATTTATTTTGGACCACTTGCAGTTTTTAGAAGTTCGATTCGCATGTGTAACTCCATGCTGGGCAAGCATACAGCAGCATAGGTTTAATAGCTACTTTATATATAATTAGTTTATTTTCAAAGCACATTCCACTCTCTCGGGCCTTCAGCGGAAATAAGACTTTTATAGCTATTTTACCTTTCGTTACTATATTGTTTATATGCCGAGAGAAGTTAAGTTTTCGGTCCAGAGTTAAACCCAAGTACTTTACCCCCTCACGCCATTCTATTTTGTGTCTGTGAATGAAATGGTTTCCTTGAATATTGGGCGTTGTTTTGTGAAAAATATGGCCTCAGTTTTCGGGACATTAATTCTAAGTTTCCAGCGGTGACAAAACCTGCAAATCCTGGAGATGCTGTCATTTAATCTTTTCACAATTGTCTTGGGCCTCCAGGATGAACAATAGACAGCAATGTCATCCGCATAAAGCGCATTGCAATTTCTCAGTGAGGGGAGTGGATTTATAAAAAGGAGGAACAAGCATGGCCCTAGGATTGAACCTTGGGGAACTCCGGCGGCAATTGGGAAAGGCCTGGAAGTTTCATTGTTTAGGGAAACATGGAAACAACGGTTTTTTAAGTAGGCCATGACAAATTTTATAAGATATCCAGGGAAATTCATTTCAATGTATCTCTGTATACTATACTGTCCCGCCAGACCAAATCAAAGGCCTTCTCCATGTCTAAGAGGACCATCCCAGTATGTTTTTTGTTGTTGAACATGTTGGTAACATGATCTACTACGCGAGTGAGTTGGGTGGCTGTAGAGAGGCCCGGTCTAAAGCCGTGCTGCTCATCTATGATAATGCTATTAGCATTAATGTGTAGGTAAAGATGGTGCTGAATGCACTTTTCGAATATCTTACTAAGTGCACTCAACAGGCTAATGGGTCTATAACTTGAGGGATTCTCGGCAGGCTTTTTGGGTTTGTTAATAAAAATAAGGTTCGCTGTCTTCCAGTTTTGAGGAAAATACCCAAGGAAGAACATCGCATTAAACAAGTGACAACTGATATGAGCTTATTGCTTTTTAAGACTATCTTCAGTATTATCAAAATGCAATGCCTTATTAACAGTTACAAATTGATTCTGTGAAAGAAAGAAATGAAAAGGCAGTGTTCCCAAACTAAAAATTATATTTTAATGTGTGGTGATTAGTGACTGTTAATCGATAAATATTCAGAAATCGTGAGATGCGATCTGGTGTGGTGTAGGTTTCAGAAAAACATTTTCTTCATTGCCAACGTTTCGATCTTTATTGAGATCAACTTCGGGCTCAAAGTGTTTGTCTTCTGTGTAATTGTGCCATTCAATCTCCTGTCAAATATATTATTTATATATTTTATTTTATTTAACAGATAATATTTATCATTTTTAATCAGAAAAAAATGAAGAAATACTTAAACGGATATTAGTTCTTTTATTCATTTATTTTTTAAATGGACCAAGAAGACAAGTCGCTTAACCTGGCAGTCCAAAAATCAAGAATGTCCAAAATTAATAATTTGTTGGTCAAGATTGTGAGCAAACGCAATTGCATTTAACTAACTAATCTCAACTCTTACATTATCTAAGCAGATAATTTTATCAGTTTGGGTTTGGGAAAGACGATGAGTTGCAAGAATTGATTTTGGTGATGAGATATTGTCAACAATTAACCATTATTAGATATCTAAAAATGGATGTTTTGTTCAGGATAATGGATCATTAAATTAAATAAACTAAAAGTTAAATTCTTTTTATATCCTGTTGCTACGAATAATTTTAAACCTAAAAAAAACAATAGATATCAGGGTAATAAATAATTTAAAAAATTCTCTCAACAACTACAAGCATAGACTTTAGATAAGAAAGAAACCAAAAAAAAAAACAGAAACATCCTGTGGTGAAGCTAGGGAAAAACAATCTTGCCCTCTTAAGTAAAACTAAGCAGACAATTTTTATAGTTTTGAATCAAAAAAGATTGAAGAATAGAAAAGCAATATGATAAGACAAGTCAGAAATGTTTCAATTTCCTCCAGGGCTGTAACAAGAAGGCTCAATGAAAATAACATCAGGTTCGCAGCTCAGAAAATGACCAGGCTTCAATTTGTATGGGGACATGTGAATTGGACCATTAGAAGATTGGGACAGATAGTCAATTTACAGATGAAGTGAGAGGTCGCCTTAAATCTTCAGACGGGCGTATGGAGACGCCAGGAGAAAATTACACATAAGTAAAACAAGTTCAAAATTTTTCAATTTCCTCCAGGACTGTAAGAAGAAGGCTCAATGAAAAAAACCTCAGGGCCCAGGATCCTACTCGTGGACCTCTTCTTACCACAACTCAGAACATGGCAAGGCTTCAATTCACATGGAGACATGTGAATGGACATCGGAAATTTGGAGATAAGTTTTAACTCTTTACAGTTGAGGTGAGAGCTGGCATCAAATTTTCAGACAGGCGTAATTTCATATGTAGATGCTCAGGAGTAAGGTGCGCCCCATGCTGTGTGGTTCCTCAGATGTCAGGTATCATTCGACAGTGGGTCATTGAGGTTCTGGCATTTCCTTGAACGCCTGCACTAAATTTATTGTTGTGCATCACAATGGTACTTGCAAGATATAATCAGAGGACATGTGCCCATTTGCCCCCACATTACTAATGCAGATAATGCCAGACCCCATAGATCAGATTGTGGATGATTAGGTAATGAAGTTGGGCTTGGGTGCTTGGTGTGGCCAGGTAAAGCCCAAATTAGAACCCAACCGAACACATTTGGGATCAACTTAGGCGACAAGTACTTCGGCGAATCCCAGGTCCTCACACCCTAGAAGAGTTAGAAACAGCTGTTCTTGAATGGGCCAGAATTCCTCAAGATTTTATCAGAAATCTTTTCCAAGGAATGCAAAGGTGTTTAACGAACATGATCTGTGCCAGAGGTGGAAATACTCAGTATTAAAGGGAAAAAATCTTTCTTTGTAGGCCTCTATCAGATGAGGCAGTTTAGTTGATTCGACTAAGTTGCCGAGTTGATTCTTAACTAGTTTACTGCATTGTAAAGACTTTCTTTGCTGGTTTCACACCGGATAACTTGTGGAATTAACCTCTCTTCCAAACGGGAAGTCAGAGAAAGTACGATGTTAGAACCCGAGGAAGCAGGAGCACTTATTGTGCTAGCTCTTTTGCAAAAAAGAAAAGCAGCAAAAAAGGAGGAAGCCCAGTAAAGAAAAGTGTGGGTTTATCCGTTGTTATACAATTGGGAAACGGGCGCTTTCTCACAAATACTGTTGTGCTCTTCCCCCCAAGTTTCACTTCTTTTAATTTTGTCACTATACTTCTCACACCCCATGTCCCATATCGTGGGACTAACACACATTTTTTCAATGAATTGCTCCACAATAAAACTTGCAATTGCAACACTTTCCGTGGTGATTCAACTAGACGACTGGTGTGAAGGATGAATACCGAGCAGTCCAATCATTTGCTACCTGGGCTACAATCCTTGACACCTCTCCATTCAACTAGTTGAATCAACTCGCCACCCAGTCTGAAAAAGGCCTAAGCTTAAAGGATAAATCACTCTATAGAGATGAGGAGACAGGCTTCACACTAGAAGGCCAGGAAGGGTCGACCTAGGTCTACAGACGAGAGAGACAATAGACCTACGAAAGGCTCCTCGAAACCACAGTAATACAACAGGAAAGCTCAATAGTAATATCAGAGCCTAGCATCCTGTTCGTGGACCTCTTCTTACCACTACTCAAACATGGCAAGGTTTTATTTTTTTTCATTACTTAATTTTTTTAGAATTAGGTAATAAACATTTAAATGTCTTATTTTTACAATCATGCCTATTTTTGGTATGCACAATATGATTAAACCTAAATACAATAAAATTTGAGGGTAGCGAGTTGATTTTTGTACATCAGTGTATAAACCGTAAATACTAAATTTTAACAGTTTTGAAAAGTAAAATCAAGAGGTATAGAAAGAATTAACGTTTTGGTGGGAGGCGATGAATCAGCCTTAGATTATTTGAAAATGGATCTTTTGGTCAAGAACTCCGACCAATAATGTTTCATAACCTGACAGTCATAGAACCTAGTACCTCATACAGCTGTTGGCAGATGAAAAAAAAACTACCGAAACAAATCTTTTGGCGAGTGACATTGCCTTTGACAAATGTACATGCAATTAAGGAAACCTTTTTCGTAAATTAATAATTACTATAAATAAATGTTTTAAATTTGAAATTTAAATAATCGACAGGGAATTACATACCGACACGAAGATAGAGAAGGGCGCTGAACATGGACAAAGCGACGGGGCTGAAAACACCGGCGAAGGTGCCGAGGGTCCGCCCTGGTGAGAGCTCGTCACTCTGGCCGAATTCGACATATCCTTCGTCGGTCTTCTTTCCACCGGAAAAACAGTTAAAGCCGCAAAGTCCTGTGACACGACGGTACAGCACCCCTGGCAGGGTCATCCCTGAGTCGCCCACTCTCTCGCCTCCGTTGTTAATACTCGTGTTGTCCATTGTTATTGCTTCCTGAGGTGGAGATCTCAACATTGTCCTTCGCTCGAGGCTCAACAATCACCAACCCAACACCCGTGTCCGAACATTATCGATTTAAATACAACCTGTCTCGAAATAAAAACGTTTCAAATGGAAAGGGGAACTGGAAACTGGACTGGAAACGGCTCGCCCCTTGTTTCAAATACATATGACGTAGCCAGTAGCCACCAGTACCACCATATCAACATTAGAACTGTCAAGGGACAAGCTTGCCAACTGGCTTTTCAAGTTTCCCTGTTCCCAATCCCATCTGAAACCTTGCATGGTTTCGCCCAGTAAGCACACTAAAATCCAATCTTTATTAATTTGTTGTTTTTGAATTTTAATTTATTATATAATAATAATTATTATACTTTTTATCAACAAATACAAGTAGAATTCATATTTGTTTAGTGGCCATAATTAATTATTATATTAATTATTCCAATTAATTATTCTTTTCTTTTAAGGTTTTTGGTTGAGGTGAAAAAATAGTTTCACGAGCGGGATTCCATCTCACGACCTTGAAGTCACCATAGCTCAAGTGGTTAGAGCAGCGGCGTATTGAGCGTAAGGTCGTGGTTTCTAATCCCGTTCGTGACAGTAATTTTTCACTTCAACCAAAAACCTTAGATGAAAAGAATAATTAATTGGTACAAGTACAATGTTATACATTCCTTTCCTTAGCGCAGCTGCTATTTACATACATAGCCATTTTTTTATTTATTCGGGTAAATATACCCAGTTACAAGTTCTAAAAGAGTTGTAAACATAAACTATATATATAATTAATATACAACAATTACGTTCATCGAATTAAGCGATGGACGGTGCATTGCGGATTCCAAAACCATAGCTGAGACTTTTGCCGAACATTATCAAAATGTCTCTTCTTCAGCAAATTTTGACGATTCGTTCATGGCCATAAAAAACAATCGAGAAATGTCACCCATAATCGTCACACCAAACTCCTCCGACCCACTAAATTACTCTTTCACACCTGTGGAATTCGCAGTGGCTCTTAATTCTCGCAGCGATACGTCCTCGGGACCCGACAATATTTGTATTAGCTTCATTAAGAACTTGAAATAAACTGATAAAATGGTCATTCTTAAAATAATTAACAGGATTTATTTAACTGGAAAATTCCCGAATATGGCAATTACCATACCACTACTAAAAGCAGATAAGCCAGCACACGAAGTTAAAAGCTATCGCCCTATATCCTTAACTTGCTCCATGTACAAGTTAATGGAAAAAATGATAACAAACAGGCTGTATTGGTATCTGGAGAATAAAGAGTTGTTACCATCATGGCAAAGTGGATTCAGGAAAAATAGAGGAACAAGAGACAATCATGTACAACTTGAACACTCTATATGTAAATCGTTTCTAAAGAAAAATAAGTTACTGGCGGTATTTCTTGATATTCAAAATGCTTTTGATCGCACTTGGAGGCGTCTGTCATAGATACCCTCCTAAGTTTCGAGATAGACAGTAATTTACTACAATTTATTTGTAATTATCTCAATGACCGAGTTTTCAGAGTGAGATGTGGATCGTCACTGTCGGGTAGCTATGTTCAGGAGAACGGAGTGCCACAGGGCAGTGTACTAAGTCCTATATTATTTTGTGTTGCAATCAACAATGTTTTGACATGCATAGAACTTTCCTGTGAAAGAATGCTATATGCGGACGACCTTTATCTACTGCAGTGAAATATAAATTCTCTACAAACACAATGCAAAACACCCTGAATAAAGTAAACAGATGGCTCTGTGAACATGGTTTCACCGTTTCACCACAAAAAAAACAGCTGCTATACTTTTTGCAAAACGGCGTCCACTCAGTTACCCTTCCTTGTACATATCTGTCTCCTCTCGTATTCAGATACAGTTCGATACCTGGGGGTTATCTTTGACAGGACACTGAATTGGAATGCACATATAAAACGATTAAAAACAAAATGCTTTCGTTCAATGAACGTACTAAGGTCGATTAGTTCATGTTCTTGGGGTGACTCATTCATGATATTATACAAAAATTTAATAAGAACACAATTGGACTATGGATGTAATGCATACAATTCCGCTACTAAAAATACAATCGGCTTGCTCGACACAATACAGAATACGGGACTTTGGCTGGTGCTTTCCGGAGCAGTCCCTCGTTCAGCCTTCATGCAGATACTGGAGAAATGCCTTTAAGTTTCAGACGTACTTTCTTGATTTGAAGTTTTTTTTTTGCTAAAATCACTTCCTCTAAGTCACATCCACTAAATCGTCTATTTCCAGGGACTAGTCTGATATTTGTCAGCTCATCCCGTGATTCTATACGAAAAACCTTCCCGTTCCGTATATACACATTATTGCACAAATTACAAATACCCATCCCTCCAGTACAAAAAGAATCAGCGGCTCCCATCCCTCCTTGGACATTTCCCAAACCGAAAATTTTGTATTCACTTGGAAAATATCGCAAAGCCCTTACACCTTTTCATGTGTACCAGCAGGAGTTTTTGAAAAAAAAAACGCACTCCCACAAGCGGCATTTATCTATACGGACGGATCAATGAGCTCCAGGGGCGTGGGAGCTGCGTCTATATGTGGCCCTAACAAATTTCTTTTCTCTCTACGTCATTTCTGTAGCAACTATAGAAATACGGAAATCTCTAAATTTTATATGTTCCGATAACAATAGTAGCTACCTGATTTGCTCTGATTCAGAATCGGCCTTACAGGCCTTGGAACACCCCTATTCAGATGATCTTGGTGTGCAGGAGATGCTGGCGTCACTGGGGAGCCTCCAACTGCAGGGAAAGAGCGTTTACTTCGTCTGGGTTCCTGGACATGTAAATATTAAAGGAAACCATTTGGCAGATGAAGCTGCAAAAGAAGCAGCCATTACAGGCCTTCAAATCAGGAACGTTCCAAAGGGTGATATGACTGTAGTTTACAAGTCAAAAGTTAAGGGTCAATGGGAACAGGTCTGGACTAACATATCTGAAAACAAACTGTGGGAAATAAAGAACTCTGAAGATGCCTGGTCTACTTCATTCAGAAATAGTAGAACGGAAGAAGTGGTTCTTACACGGTTGAGGACCGGACACTGTAGAGCCACTAAGGGTCATTTAACGGGGCGAGAGGCACCTCCAAATTGCGGAGTGTGCAATCAAATCGTCAATCAAGCATATATTTACGTCATGCTCATTATATACAGCCCATAGACGTCTACACTCCTTGCCTATAAGCATCCAAGAAATGCTAGGCGACAACAATGACAGTACACGTAATTTGTTTGATTTTCTCGAATCAGCAAATCTACTCGACAAAATATGAGCTCACACTGTTTGTCCTTCTCTATATATACAGGATCAGATATATAAAGATAAATAATATAGAGTCAAGATAATAAGATAATATTAATTAGATATGATAATAATAAATTGGAAATTATAAATTGGATTATTATTATATTAAAAAAAAACTTGCGCAGTGGAAATATCGTAATCAATGAAGTTCTACTGAGATGCGATTATTGCTAGTTGAAACTATTACTCGTTTCCATGCGTCGAGGAATTGAACTAAATGACATAACGACCATCTTTAACGACGTGTGAGGGGTTGTTTTGAATCAAAAACAAGAACATATATCGTAATATATCTAAATGAAAATGAAATAGAAATGCAAGAAAATTAGGATCAACTGCCAAACAATTAGATTTCGCTACATATATGAAATTACAAAGGGGACGACCAGGTTGGTGGGTCACGGATTTGGATTAAACTTTTTTGGTGATTCTACACTCTACATATCGAACACATACTACATATCGTGTATACATACAGCACTTCTTGTGAATCGTTTTGCCAAAAAAAAATTTGAAAGTTGAAATTTTCCGTTTTTAATATTTTTATTTCAAATCAACTTGCTACTTGCTCAAATCAACTGTGTGAATATATCATTTTACTGCGTTTTTTATGCAGATTGAAATAAAAATACAGTAAAAGCTACCAAAGTATATCAATGAACAAAAGTTTTATAAAAACCGAATATTTTTCAAGTAAATTAGGCCTTAAAATTTTTTTCGTAAAACTAATATGAAATTTCATATTAGCACCTCTAGAAACCCCTAAATATAAATTTCTCTTACAAATTATCGATTTATTGATCCTCAAAATTTTTCCGAATTTTAAGAAGTCGTTATCGGAATATCTTTTTGAAAAGGCTATAATTCAAAAACGTCTACAATGATTTTGACGTCAAACATATCATTTGAAAGAAAAGGAACGTAGTATTTTAACGACGTAAATACCACAAAATATATAAAAGATTAAACGCCTTTAAATGAACATAAATCCTAATTTATAGGTTTAAAAAATATTATTTTTGATAATAATTTCATTGTTGGTTAACCGAAAACAATGTTGTACGACGCAGAATTTTCTAATTTGGTACGATTTAAAAAGATTAATGAACAAAATACTGCTTTTTTGCATATTTACAAAAACATTCTGAAAGCAAAGTAGGCCAGAAAATGATCACAACTTGGATTTGATCTCATTGTCGGATTCTAGCGTTATAAGACGACCATTAAATACCTACTTTCTCGGAAATCGGTGTAAATTATTTTTCTGTCTGATAATTTCGACGACCTTCTTGCGTCACTGGCATTCCTTTGTACAAGCTCTAACATCATTTTTCTCAAAAGCTAGTGAATCAATTTTCATGATAGATAATTTGTTTTAAAGAAACTGTCAATTGCATTTTATAACTGTATCACACATTAAAATCGGACTTTTATTTCCATTTAAAAAACGAAGTTAATTTCTGACAAAAATATTTTCTTATTTTATGTATTTCGTTGTAGAAATTTTATATATTTTTATGGTACATACATCGTTCAATAGCTATGTTTCTCTTCTTTGAAATGGTATGTTCAACGTTAAAATCCTTTTAGCAGTTTTCGAATTATAGCCGTTCCAATAAGATATTCCGATAACGATTCTTAAAATACAGAAAAATTGTAGGTGTTGAAAAATCGATGAATTTAAATTTTAAAAAAATTTATATGTAAGGGTCTCTAGAGGTGTTCAAACAAAATGTCATATTAGTTTCACTTACACACTTACTTGAAAAATATTTGGTTTTTAGAATGTTTTTGGCTGTTGATAAACTTTGATAGCTTTTACCATATTTTATTGCAA